CCACGCACCCGCAGCTGAGGGGCGCCCGGCCGCCGCCTCCCCTTCCTCCGCTCCCCGCGCCCGGTTCCCCGCTCCCAGGAGGGTCCCGTCCCCGACGACGAGCAAAGTCCGCGCCCCGTGTCATGAGTGGGGTTGTCAGATGCGGCGGCCACCCGCCCTGCTCCGCTCCCCGCTGCACATCCCCCCTTCCCCTCCGCCCGGATGGTTCAGTCCGGCTCGGAGGCCGCGTCCCGCTGAGCGTGATTCAGCGCTCATTAGCATAGGGGGCGTGTCCAGGTCACGGCCACGCCCACGCGGCGGCCGGTCTGGGCCGGGGCTGTCCCGGTGCCACCGCCCCCCGCCGTGTCCCCTGCCCCCGGGGACACCCCCCGCCCCGTGTCCCCTTGCCCAGCCGCTGTGTCCCCGTTGGCGTGTCCCCCGTGGCGCGGTCTCTCTCCCAAGGGCCGTGTCCCCTGTGGCACATCCCACGCGCCCTGTCCTGTGTCCCCGCTCCCACCGCCCGTGTCCCTGGTGCCGTGTCACCCATGGCACATCCCCACAGCGCCATATCCCCCACGGAGCATCCCATGTGCCGCGTCCCCGGGGACATGTACCTCGTGGCACATCCCAGGTGCCAGGTCCTGTGGTCCCTCTCCCACGTGCCGTGTCCCTGGTGCCAGGTCCGCCATGGCATGTGCCATGTGCCACATCCCACACATGTGCCTGTGTATCCTGTCCCTGTGCAGGGCCCTGTCCCCTGGGCTGGGCTGACCTGCCGTGGGGTCCCCATGGAGGACATAGCTTGCCTTGCCAGGGTCCCACTCCACCTCCTCCCAGGGTTTGGTCCCAGCAGCGTTCTGCTGGCGTCCCCCACCTCCGCTGCTCACAGGGAAGGTGAGAACAGGATTCAAAACCTGCTCAGCAAATTCCCCGTCTACTGGTTGGACACCAACAGCCCTGTCCTGCAGGAGCCACCAGAGAGCCCATGGCGGGGACTGGCTCCAAGACATGTCGGCTCCGTGGAAGAGGCTGGCTTGTGGCCGGCTCTGTCACCAGGTCTTTACAGGGCCTGTGGCTGGGACTGGCTGGAAAGCACAGAGCTGGTGGGAGGGGAGGAGGGGGCTGTGGGGCACTGCCAGGGGTCCAAGTCCCAGAGGGGGACCCCATCCTGAGCCCTGGCAGAGGTGGGAATGGGGACTGTGGGTCCCACATGTGCTCCACCATCACCAGCACTGCTGCCATCCCTGTCACCACCACCACCATCCCCTCCATCACCACCAACATCCCCTCCATCACCACCACCACTCCACTGCTTTTCCTGCAGCATTGCACCCTGGGATGTGTAGCTGTCAGCACAGACCAGTATTGCTATTAGCTGGTGGTTGTTATTACTAATGAGCGTTTCCAGCAGCCCCGATTAACATCAGGAAGACTTTCACTGGGGTGGGGACAATCCCTGCCCCAGCCATCTGGAGCAGTTGGTTGTTGGGAGAATTTCTCATCCCTCTGGCACTGGTGGCCTTGGCAGTTTGTTCACCAAGTTTGGGCTGCAGAGGGACCCAGGCAGCAGGCAGATTTTCGGTGTCCTCAGACAATGGTCTTCCCCTTGTGCCACCGAGGTGTCCCTCCCAGGTCCTGCTGGGCAGCCTCCAGCCACCTGGTGCCATAACGCTGTCTTCTCCTCCTGGTGCCCAGCTCCATGCCAGCAGCTCCCCTGGTCCCACTGCCCCTCGCTGGCCAGCGCTGCCCACAGATCCTCCAGCACCATCCGCCGCCAGTGCTCCCGTCTGCCGGGCCAACAGCCATCACCGCCAAACAAAGAGCCTCCTTGTAGCAGTGAGCTCACGAGTTGCAGCAGCGGCGGCACTTTGGGGACCCCATGTCTCCAGAAGGGCTGAGCTCCAGCTCAGTGGGACCCCCCAGGGCCCAGCTTCTCTCCTTTCACTCTTTGGAGCTGTGAGACGCCAGGAGCTTCCTTGTCCCTGTGCTGTGGGTGCAGCCAAAATCCTGGGGCACAAGCTCCTTGAGCCAAGCCCCCTTGTCCTTCCCCCTTCCTCCTTCTCCTCCTCCTCACCCTCCCATGCTTCTCGTTTGGGACACACTCAATGTCTCTGGGTCTCCATTCTCTAGCACTAAAGGTCCCATAAATTGATTTGGTTTTCACCAGAAAATGCTGATTCATAGAAAGGAGTTTTTTAAATGCTTTTGATAATGCTTTCTTCCAAAATATTCCATTTTACATTTTTCCCCATATTTATTTAGCCTCCCTACCCCCTGCTTGTCTTCCTGCTGCTGGAGCCAGCCGGGCAGAGGCAAGGAGAGGCTGTGGTGGGGCTGGCGTGGTTCTTGCCACACATCCCAGTACAAACACTCTCCTCTCTCTGGGGTATGTGTGCGGGGAAGGTCTGGGTGCTGGAGATGGGAGCATCCATCTCCTTCTATCCACCTGGGACTGTCCAGTCCTCCTCTGCTCACCCTACACGGCCCTGGACTGACCACAGCTGACGGAGGGATGACAAGAGATGCTCATCCTCCCAGGATGCGCGTGGAGTCCCACTGGTTGCCCCAAGAGTGGCTGTGATGGGTGGAGTGGGTGGATGTGAGGATGCACAAAGCCGATGTGGACCAGAGGAGCGGAAGGACCATGTGGATGTTGGTGACAGCACGTGCAACCTTGTTGAGCTCCCTGTCACGCCCGGGTGCCAGGTGTGTGGGCGGGGGTACCCAAGAGTAATTTATCGCTATTAAATCTATTTCTATTTAAAAACATGGTATTTCCACCATCACTAATGCTCTGCTGCTGCAGCTGGGTCTCCCAGCCCGTGCAAAGCCCAGGCCGACGTGCACCACTTGGCTGGGGTCTCCTTGGAGCGGGGCCAGCTCTGCCCCCATGGATGCTGCACCCCATTCAGCCCCCCTGGGGTGCCACTATCCCCACTGAGAAGGGTCTCCCCGAGGTTCTCCTGCCAGCTTTGGTTTTGCCTTATGGAGGGGCGGGGATGCTTTTGTCCCTAGGGAAAGGATGGCGAAAGGAGGGAACAAAATTCGACCCAAAACTGGGAGGAGAATGCAATATGGAAGGCAAAGAGCCAGAAACCCTGAGGCAGAACAACCCAAATTACTGTTCCCACAGCAACTCAGAGTGCCAGGCAGACGGTCCCTGGCTGCCACCGACCGTGCACACCTTCGCTGTGGGGGCTGGGAGCTTCTCATCCCCAGCTCTGCCTTCTAATTTTGGGCACCGCACCAAATGCCACCAAGGGGTGATGGCCAGGTGGTGCGTTCCCTCACGACAGATGCCTTTTCAATGCAAAGACCTCCGTCCAAACCTCCGTCTTTGAATGGACAAAACGTGCCGGAGAATGATTTAACTCAGGGCTCCGGGTTTCATGGGCTGCTTTTAGTGAGCAGGAGCCAGCCGTGGCTGCGGGGGCTGCCGTTGGGGACAGCGGGCGCTGCCGCCCTGCCCTGCCCCCGGCCGGTTTTGGGAAGGCGGATCAGCCGTTGGCCAGGGGATGGGTCCCCGCTCCAACCTCCTGCTTCTACGCGCTGCAGCCATGGCGGTGGCTGGGCCTGTGTTGCGAAGCGGGGCTGGAGGGGGTCTGGAGAGCTGGCTGGGAGCACCCTGTCCCTCCAGAGCCCCTGGAGCCTGCTGCTGGGTGCAGGACGAGCCCAGGCAGGCTCCGGCCAGGGCTGGGGAAGGGGGTCTGACCAGGTCAGTGGAGCCGAGTGGGTGCTGGGCGTGGGGAGGGGGAAAGGAGGGCTTGCAGCGGACCCATCCCCCTTGGCCTCGGCAGCGAACACTCGCCAGTGATGGAGCAAACCTGGCCAGAGCATTTCCTCATCCAGCATCTTGGGAAGTACCTCACCAGAATCACATGCCAGAGTCACGGGGCTTGAGGGGGACCATGCCATGGCTCCTCCCCGTGTCCCTGGGGTGAAACCACCTCCCAGGAGGTCAGGACCTTGGGTGATTTGCAAATGAGGTTTCTTTTGCTCTACTTGGGTCTAAATTAACTGATTTCCATTCTGAGCTGTTAACTCCTTCTTATCTGGTCAGTTCTAGACTTTTTGATGAGGCAAATTAAGGGATTCTATTCTATTCTATTCTATTCTATTCTATTCTAACCTAACCTAACCTAACCTAACCTAACCTAACCTAGTCCCATTCCCTTCTCACTCTTTGTCCAGGACTTTCCTGCCCTATACAAAACTTCCCATCTCCCTCTTTTCCATGCTGTGTTCGTGGGTGAACGCAGCCAGGAAATCATTCTTGCTTCTTACAGTTTCTTCAGCTCCTGGGGACAGAGCAGAGAAAAACTGTTTGTTTTTTTTCTACCCTCCTTTTCCTGACATGCCCCATCAGGAGGCAAGCAGGAGGAGCTCCAGGTCCTCTCCAAGACCACACACCGTGCATTGGCTGGCCTTCTCCATCCCTCCTGCAGCAGGGCATCCATGCCTGGACCCCACCACTCAGCTGGCAGCTGGGATCAGCCAGGGCTTCCCACAAGGAGGTTCTGCCCGTGGTTTGAAAATAGCATTTATTTGCTCTGGGTTACCATAGTGACTTGTGGAAGTCGCACGGTGCTGCTTCTGCTGCCTGGTTGGGTGAGTCTCTCTGACGTGGCACGACCAGCTAATTTAACCATCAAACAGACCCAGCAAAACGGCAGGAATTTCTTGGGTGTTGGGTGAGCTCCACGTGCAGCCTGAGCTGCCCTCTCACTGCTCAGCAACCCTCTCTTTAAGGTGCTGGATGCCCCTGCGGTGCTGCAGCACATTTTGGGTCCTCGATCGCTGGCTTTGCGTTGCTCGAAGGCGATGACATTGCTTCCCCAGTGCTGAGCCTGTACTTGTGCTGCACCTTAGAGCTCTTGAAGAGATACTAAGGGCCAGCATGGCAAAGCCCCTGCTGCAACCCCATGCTTGGGTTTTGGGAAGCCGGTCTGCAACTGGGGCAGTTGATGTGTCCTGGAGAGACACTTTTGGAGAGATGATGCTTGGTGAGATGTGGGTGCAGGCTGGAAGCTGGCGCTGACAGCTCTTACTCATCAGTGACCAGTGGCTCAGCGTGTAAAGCACCGCACGTGGCTGTGGTACATTGCACAAATGACAGAGCTCGTCCTTGATGCTGGACCTGGCAGAAGGAGCTCTGGCAAAGCCAGTGGGAGGGATGCTTGGCAGCTGGAGCCGTGTGTGAGGCTGTGCTCCCATGAGGAGACACCCAGAGCGGCACAGATTGGTCCAGCACTGGAGCCTCCAAGCCATGGGATTTTCCTGCCGGACGCTGCTGGGAGCAGGTTTGTTATCCCCCCTGCAGCAATGACAGACATGAGCCCACATGGGAGAGACAGGACCCAGCCCGGGAAGCAGCTGGGACTCACCTGTCTGTGGACATGTCTCTGCCAGCCCCAGGTGACCGAGGGAACAGCCAGTGCTGGGGTGAGGGGTGAGTTGGAGACAGGACATGTCAAAGCCCAGGGTGCTGTGCTCTGACTGCACAGCCACCTCTTTTCGGGGATGGAGCTGCTGGCAGCTTCAGAGGCTGAGCAGCCACAGGGCACCAAGGACCAGCAGCCTGATTTTGGGTCATCGCTTGGTGCCACACAGTTCTGGGGAGAAAACATGGGTTGGTTTCTACCAGGAAAGCTGAGGGCAAAGGCTTTCTGCTGCCTCGCCGGGAGCTGCTGCAGAGCCGTGTGCCAGGCTCCCCCGGCCTGTCCTTTGTCGCTGGGCTGGGACGGTGCCACGGCTCGGTCCCCGCTCCACACACCCGCTCCTCCTTTGTGCTGCAGCTCTCCCTCGGCCTGCGGAGCTGGCAGGCAGAGAGGAAAATGAAGCCATGGCCGGCTGGCAGGACACGCTGCCTTTCTGCAGAGCTGCCACGCGGTGAGAAAATCGCCATCTTTCTACTCCAAGCTGTGCCAGGGCAGGAGCCCCCCCTCCTCTGCCTCAGCTCTCACCAGAGTACCCTGCTACCAACCAGCAAATTAAATCCATTTTCTGGCAC